CTTTGGCTGATCATGTAAAGAGACACAGACACCAGTGATATTACCATTACTGCTGAGCTAATGCACATGTCAATTTTGTAGAAGCACAGCTGGAGCTTCAGACTTATCATAAAGTTTAGCATGAGCAGGAAACAGGGCGTGCTAATCCACAGAAAAGTACATCTTGCAATTGTGAATGGTAAGTAGACTTTAGTTATACTGTGCTTCTGAAGTCTACATGGCCAGTCAGAGGTCCTTTTCACCACAAGTCACATTCAAACACACACACACTCATACAGATTGTCTTGGTCTATGGAGTGTTATAGGTGACGCACACATTAACACCAATAAGCTCTTTACAGGCAACGGGAGATTCAATGTCTCCCCTAAAAACACCTTAATATATGATCTGGGGAAATTGAAAGTCAAACCAATAACCTCCCAGTTTATAACAATATTCCACATTATTTTCACTCTTCAAGTGCCAACAAGCTATCCAGAGTTGTCAGTCACTGGGTGCCCGTCTTATAAAAACTTCTTTCAAAAATGAGGTGCAACCGCATGAGTTCATATTTTTTCTCTTTTTCAACAAATTTAAGGTGAAGTGAAAAAAATTATTGGAGGGCCCCGAATTCATAAAAAAAAGTATAGCTATTATTTGTCTATTTCTTTCATATACAGAAATGTTTGTATATGGTCGTCTTATAACCAAGCTGAATGTACCTTTAAACAACTTTTGAATCTATTAAGAGCAAGGAGCAGATATTCAGCAGACTTTTTCTATGTCTCTATTGTATTTCATAGACTAAAGTTCCCTGACTATTCACAGTTCGATCCATAGCTCTTCTCTGTTTTGGTTGCTAGTACAGTTTTGTCTGAACATCATCACTCTGATCATTTGTTTCTCTGCCATCACTATCTATTTAGCTTCACTAGTCTTACATAAAGCAACTCCTTTGAAATCAGAAATTTCTCCATGCATGAATCACGCTGCCTGACTTTTCTTCAAATACAGGTTTTTCCACAGTGAGCTGAGAGCAATGGTCTGCCGTCTTAAACCATGCAGCCATTAACATCTTAAGTCTGAATAGGGAAAATTCCATTGAAACTTGTTCAAGAGTTATTAAAAAAAAAGAAGAAAAATCTCAGGAACCACAACATTCATAGAGTGAGGAAAGACTCTGCTTAGAGTGCTGGGTTGCCTTAAAGCTGTAGATAATTAAGCTACCTGCGACTTCATAAAAATTCCTATAAATCTTACAGGTGAGTCTCTTTTCATCAAATCCTGGCTCTTGCCGAAGTGGATTCACTGAAAGAGGTGAGCGCCCTCTTTTGGACAGGGCAGGCACTGTAATCTCCATTCCTGTGTACCAACGGCACACTAGAGACTTGCAAAGAGAATGGGTTGCCGTAGCAACAGCAGACAGTAAAAGTGCAGCCTCCTGAGTGACCCTGCACATATACGTTTAATTGTGTAAGGCATGGACTCATTCGCCTGAAAAAGAGAGGAAGAAAGGGGTGAAAAGGAGAGTTTTCTTTCTTTGTTTCCCTACAGAAAAGAGTGAAAACTTTTCATCTGCATGTCTGTCTCTCACTGGGTTGGACTAAATATGTTTTAAAGGCATGAAAAAGCATATTTCAAGATCATTTAAACAATGCCTTCCCTCTGCATATTTTAAAGAAACTACACCAAATGATTGATTACTAATTTAAAGAATGCTGATCTGTAATCATTTTTAGAGTCAAACCTTTTGAAGTCCTGTGTTGTACTTAATAATATTTTTGTTACCGTGTCATTAGAATTTTTCTTTCCCAAAGCCTGTGGTGTGTGTAAGAAAATAATAAGTCAACATAGCTGCAGAAAGGCAGTGGGACACAAATGTAATATACTTGCTTTCAGAGGGTTTATCCCCTTGAACGTTTCTTGAGACTTTACCACTGATACACTCACCTCTTCCACGCACAGGCTTTCTTTGGACCCTCTGGTTGTGTTTGCTATAGATTAAAATGGATAAACCTATATTCTTTGATATTATTTTAATCCTAAGAGACCAATCAGTGTTAATATGATTCCAATGTAAGAATGATTGGTTGTTTCTCATTACTGTTTCTGATTTATTGATAGCCAATTATATAACTGATGCTTTTGTGATGTTGATGCATATTCAGTTTGATTTTATACTTAACAGTGAGCAAGACTAAACATTCCTGTTTGACTTATGTTGATGACACACCAAACACTTACAAATACATAAAAAATGGGCCCTAGAAAAGATGTTAATTTGTTTCTCGCCATTTTAAGCGGTCAACATGATTTTTTATTTTTTATTTTTGGTTCTGTCTGCCTTTGTGGTCTTCTTTATTATCTTTTTGTATGGTCTCTTTTCAGCATCCATTTGGCCATTTTGTCTCTTTATCGTCATTTAGAGATTCTGAGAGGCTGTTTTCCATTTCCTGGTGGATGTTTCCAGTCTTTTGCGGCTTGATTTGCAATCATTATGAGTTGTATTGACTACTTACAGTCCCCGTATGCATTTTTGTGTTTGATTTGAGTGTCTCTGTTGTCATTGTGGGTTTCATTGTGGTAATTGTCTCTGTCTTTGTGGCTGTTTAGTTTCTTTGGGGTTATTTTGATTGTAGTTGCTCTGTGTCTCTTTATGAAAGGCTGCTAAATTCAGAAAAAAAGTCATTTCAGCCAAATCTCAAATGTTTTTGCTATTCTATTTGATGTCCTTAGATAACTAATTCAAGGATTAATATTCATTCATCTCCATTCCCTGAATCTGTCTGAAGCCTCCCTGGGAAGATTCACCTCCCACTTCTCAAAAAACTACCCTGAACAAAACTAACTTCCCACTGCATCCTGTCTTTACTCCAACCTGCAGCCTCTCAAGGGTATTTCCTTTTTCAGTAATGTCTTTCAAGATGTTGAATATGTTGCTGTGAGGTGCATGTGTAAGCAGGAAACTAGAAAAAAAAATCTGAGCTCAGTCTTCAAACACTCCCTGGTGTTTACACATGAAAATGGCTGAACTTACAGATTTTACTAGCCCCAAGTGAAAATGTCAACTCATACTGAAGTTTGTCAAATCAAGCTTTGCCTTGGTAAAAATAATCTTTGTTTTATTGTAACTCACGACTCCACCTTTTTTTCCAATCAATACAACTCAAGGTTGTTGAGTTTGACCTCACTGCTGTGAAGCTGTTGTGGAATAAATCTAAGATTGATTTTGGGTGGAAGTCGAAAAGAACAACCTGAGACTCATGAAGATATATGTAAAATATGCTACAAGGGGGGTAAAAACACAGCTACCTCCTGTAGATTAGAATAAAAATTCATCTTTCAGCTTGCCCAACATCTCTATAATATATAATATCCACCATGTTAATAAATGATATGATAAATAAAAAATAAACTTATTTCATGGCATTTTCATGGCATTTTCAGGCATACGGTAGGGTTATTTGGTTCTAAAAGCAGGTGATTAGAATCATTTGTTGGTACAAAATCCATGTTGCAACTTTTTCTGGAGCAGCTTAAACAAGATGAATGTGGCTTAAGAGAAAAGCCATCTGAAATCTGAGTGTGAGAAGACAGTAAAACCTACTTCAAATATCAACACCTGGGGATGGGAGAGAGTGGAATGGAATATTAATAAATAAGATAAGAGGGAATAGTATTGATTCCTGTTGAGAAATTGAATTGCTGCCGCCATTAAAGAATTATGACTTTACAAGTAAGAGAGAAAGAGAAATGGAATATCTATAACTAAAGTTTGAAAGAAGAAATAAAAATATGGAAAACAGTCAGTGTTTATATCATGAGTAAACAGCTTAATCTTGTTTAATCAGCATATGAATTTGGATTATGTGATCATTTTATTTACCTTATGATGACTTTTTATTTACTTTATATTGATATTTTTCGCTGTCTTTACCTTAACTTAAATTTTAACCTGAATTTGTAGTCATGTTAAACAATGTCAATCTACTCTAAATAACAAAAAATATGACCTATAATGGCAGAATTTAAGCGTTTTTCTACGTGAATCCACGAAAAGACATATAGCATGCAATATATTAAATCCTAACTTTGACATGCCAGAATATTTATATTTCTTTGAATGGACCAAGTACACATGATGAATTCAAGCTCTGTGGCACATTATTGTGAAAATTGTAAAAAGAAAAAAAAAGTATACTGATGTCTAGCCCTTTTCTCATGAGTAAAAGCAAGCATTAGTCAATCAATAAAAAGCACCAACCTCAAAATGATTCTTATAATTTAATTTCAAGTTAAATGGTCATAGTTTTTAAACTGAAATTTTTTAAATTCGTGAAAACATTTTGTGAAATGTATCGTTTTCAGCTTCATTTTTCTATACTGAGAATCTGTTTTATTAAATTCTGTTGTCTGCACAAAGTTATAGAGTAAATCCTAGTTTATACTGTTTCTTTTACATAGGTAATATACGCATCATATTTAACAAAATTTTGTCAGTTTTGAGGACCAAGCTTGCGCTGTCCATAACCTGCAGTGCTGAAACTGACGAATAAACACTCTACAATGTGGACATTTTTTACAGCTCTTTGCTTGGATTGCGTTCGGTTTAAAATTTTGAAGATAAAAAATTAGGAAATAAGTTGTGCCAGTCTTAAACAAGCAGCCTTATCAAGCTAGTTGGAACCAAAACTGCTAGTTTCCCTCACCGGCTCACTCCAGTCAGAGCGTGGTGTTGCATTTCCCCCTCAGTCTCCGCTGCTCCAATTCTTCAATTCTTGATAGGCAAAATCCTTACGCTAACTGAGCTATTATAGGTTATATTACGTTGTGGGCGTAACGGTTTCTTGTAATGGCGACCGTGCCGTAGATGTGCCTAGGTTTGTGAAAATGAAGCGAAGAAGAAGTTATTTCTTTTAAGTAAAACGCCGAGGTTCCCCGAAGGAGGACTTTGCGTCTTTAACCATCGTCTTTTCAAGTGGTAAATTTAGCTGTACTTTTGAACTTTTGCGCCTCCGAAATGATGAAGCTCAAGTCCAACCAAACCCGGACGTACGACGGGGATGGCTACAAGAAGCGGGCCGCCTGTCTGTGCTTCAGGAGCGAGTCTGAGGAGGAGGTGAGCTTGGTGATGTTGTTGTCTGGAGGGCCAAGCTAGCATTAGCAGCCGTATGTGCTTTTGGTTTTTTAACAGTCTGTAAAATCACTGTATTTACTCGCACAGTCGTGATTGTATGCCAGCTGGACATTATTACTCACTCCTATTCCAAATCTCTATGGTGTCTGATGACACATTTAATTGACAATAGTTTTTTTTATCTCGTACTTATCCAAGTGTTATGTAAGGCTCTTTAGCAGTGCAGATGGTAGCTCCGGGTTTTTATACCCCGTGCTACCTGTTAGCTATATGCTAATGCTAGAGTTAGCTTGCCAACTAGCCGTTTTGTTGCTCAGGGCAGCCGGCTCTCGGCCAGCGACCACAGCCCACAGTTCTGGACCCTATTATTGGGGATTTTTATCTCTATGAATCATTACCTTAACAGAAATAATCCTTAATTGGTCCAATTAACATTCAGAAAGATTTGTATGCTTTTTACAGAAATATTGACGTGCCAAGTAAAGCCTAGTGCTATCATTGATGCAACTAGTATTAGTAGCCGAATACTGGACTTTCGTGAGGGTGTTAGCTGTGGTAGCTAAAACTAAATGATAACCTTCGCAGTGATAAGCCGGGGGCCATTTAGACGTTAATGCGAATTAGTTCACAAGTTATAATTTGTTTAGATGTGGAGTGTCAGCTTAACCCGCGTTACGGGCACAGTTATTCAGGTCACAAGTAAACATGGCTGTGAGCTGTATTCAATGAAAAGCAAGCTCAAATAAGCCTGTTTTGGGTGAAGCTATTTGGGAAATGTGATTTGCTGACAACCACATGCATAAAGGTGTCTGTAAAAGAAATATATTATCAGGGCACCAAGCAAAATAAGACTTAATCAGATCCTCATCCTGGTCAAAGTAGAGGCCAGATTGTTAACTGAATGGGCTGTTGCTTACTGGAAATCTGTCAAGATCATAAAGACAGAGAAACTTTTTCCGTGGTCTGCATTTTCAGTTGTTGCACAAGTGATTAACATTCAGAGTATACAGATCTGAATCTTGTGAAAATGAATAAAAGAAACGGTTGAACTGGGGCTAATGAGAGGAAAAACTGAGATTTCCTATTGGTTAAATTCTTTAAACCATTGGATTCACGCAGTATCTAGGTTGAAAACATATTAAGTTTATTAAATGTATTGTGCAAGATATATTTGTGATGTATAGTGTTAAGGTGATTAACAAATTGCATTAAAGTTAAGTTGGTTTTGTTTGGGATGCATTCCAGGTGCTGTTAGTGAGCAGTAGTCGACATCCTGATAAATGGATAGTTCCTGGAGGGGGAATGGAGCCTGATGAGGAGCCCAATGTGGCTGCTGCTCGCGAAGTCTGTGAAGAGGTTTGTTCTATAACAATTTTTGTTGTATGCTATAATTGTGTTTGTGTTTTTCATGCCTGTTGACCCACTTTCGTATTTGTCCACTTAGCAGTAAATGTTTCCGTAGGTGATCATGCAGTAAACTTAACTTCACACTCTCTGATACACAGATGTGAAACATGCCTTTCTTCACGTGGTTCGAAGCCAGGAATGTTGTTCTTAGAATTGATTTCCATTTGCAGCACAGCAAATTAGTGCAAGTGTTGGCTCAGAAGAGTATTGTATTACATTTCCGTTAAATCATGTCTGTATTTAACACTGGGTCTAATACCTGGCTCTCAAAATCCATTTTGTCAGTGCAGTCATGTTTGCGTGGAGAGAGAGAGCCTAGCAACGTGTAATCTGTATCATAGCATCATGTTTCAAGGCAATGTTAGGATGTCAAAAGAGTCACAGACAGAGATTGAACACTGGCCGACCAGCGGTTTGCACTACAGTGCTAACAGGTCCCACAAATGCGCCAAATGAGGAACAAATGACTTTCATTGTTGATCAGTGTCTGACCGTTCTGTTTCTGTTCCATTTTTATGACGGCGTCACCGTGGTGGAGGAAACTGGTTATTTTTTTATGTTTCTTTTTTTTATGGGTTTATTTTGAGTACAATGGCTAGCAATTATTAATCGAGTAAAGCTTGCTAAAATAACAGTTTCTTGTCATCTTGTTAGTACTTTCTATATTACTCCCTTTCAGGGAGGAAATCAGGCGGCTCCTAGTGTGCTGAAGGCACTGACTGCTGCCCAGCTGTCAACCCTAGGTGGGCGTTTCACCATATAAAGCCTTTCCTCTGTGTGCGATCCATCGCACTGATGGATGCTGATATCATCCCTTATCCTGGCTCCTGCTGTGTAGTTGCTTTGGTGGCTGCAGGACATTGAGGCTTGCCAGCACATTTCTACAGGGTCGAAAGCAATGTCACATCATTACTGATGTTTGTTAAAGTGCTGAAAGGCCGCAGTCAGAGACTGTGGTGACTTTGAGTGGTGCTCAATACATCACCAAATACTCTGGCTTTCTAAGCCTCTTATTGGACGGTGGTGTAACAGGACATACTAATCCTGGTCGGCTTATTCTGATTACCATATGAGCAGTGAGCTATTGCTTATGCTTATTGGTTTGAAGGCAGGCCACAAACAGCGAAGACTCAGCAGTCAGGAGCAGGTCAGACATTCTTGTCCATTTTCCTGTTCTGTACCTGAGTCTGTAAACGGTGTCACTGACACCCCCGACCCCGCTGCATGAAGAAACAAGACTGCATTGCATAAGTTGTAATTCAGCTTCAGTGTCCTCCACCCTCTCCCAGGATGATGCCCATTAGTCTTCAGTTACGTGAATGCCTGAACTAGGAAACCTTTTCCATCTCATATAAACATACAGGTTGACTTTTGGCCTATTACTTAATCCCCTGGCATGACTAGTGGTTTCTAGTGGTGGGCCTGTTCTTTTCCATACGATCCAGCTGAAAGCTTGAGGAGTGCAGCCGTCGGTCCACAGCGCAGTGTGTGGAGTCAACATTTATTTATAGACTGAAAGTGGAACCTGAAGAAGAAGCTTCAAAGATGTCAGCAAGTGGCCTGGCTCTTTATTTAAACCCGACTAACTATTCACCTGGGAGTTGAGATCCTGGATATAATTTCCGGTGTTTGAATATGCTGAAAGGTAACGAGCACTGGGAAATGTTCATGTTGTCCCCTCTGGAGGAAGAGCTGACATTTGTGAGGTGACAGCAAAGGGTTTCTCTTGTTGTTTTTGACCTTTCTACACGATCTTGCATGAATCTGAAAGGCTTTTGGGAGGGGCTGTGAGTTATCTGTTATGTAGCCATATCATTAGAACTATAAATTGATTATTCCATCACCAGAAAAATATTAGTTTCTTAATTGTTTTAGTCAGTTCAAACTAAAGCTAAATTTAATTAACCCCTGCATTCACTTTTAGAGAAGTCAAAAGATGTATTTGTTTTTGCACTAAAGTGGACAAATCAAACCATTTTAAACAGTTTTTGAATGAATCCTTTACCGACCTTTTCTAAGAGTCATTCGAGTTAAACATGTGATTTCCATCTGGCTCCTTTTAACAGAAATTGTAACTCCATTTGCTAAATAAAAGTCAATTCAGTGAAGTGTGGTGATGATTGGAGAATCTTGACAAGACGCTGGTCCTTTTATTTGTTGTACTTGTGTGTTATTTGAAGGGCTCAACTACAGCAGCCCAGTAATTAGAAGGAGTGAGTTTGCAAAGGATAAACACAATCTTATGATGTAATGTAATCCACTGCTGCACAAACACAAAACTAGAGTTTCCAAGTTGCCATACAAATTACATCAGCCCCCTCCAGGATCCATTTCAACAGAACGCCCTGAAGTTCAAAGATAAAGTGCTCATTGTTGGGCTGCTAGACTGTATTTCATTGTTTTACTGTGGTTTTTTTTTTTTTCGTATCTCTTGTTTATGTCTTTATTTCATAACATGGGTCCTTAATTGTCTGTTATTTCGATGTATTTTGTATGTTGTTTTCTTCTTTTAATAACCCTTTTTAACCTTCCATTTAATTTACAGGCCGGTGTGAAGGGGACTTTAGGTCGCTTAGTTGGAGTATTTGAGGTGAGTTATCGTCTGATTAAATTTTAATTTCTTCAACTGTTGACATCCTTTTGATAGTTTTCCTAAATACGTGATGTACTTCTTCCTACAGAACCAGGAGAGGAAACATAGAACCTATGTCTATGTCCTTATTGTAACGGAGGTGCTGGAGGACTGGGAGGACTCGGTCAACATTGGTAAAGCTCTGTTTGTTTATTTGTCAAAATAGGCATCATATGGACAAAGTTCTCCAGTAGTTACAAAGATTTTAGTGTATGTTAACTGGAGCTTAGTTGCTGTCCTTGTGATTTCCCCGTCTGCTCAGGTTAAATATGTGTGGAGTCAGTATTAGTGACACACTCCAACGCTATTTTTCTCTGTGTTGTTTCTCACCTGTGGCTCTACAATGCTCTCTGCTTCCGTCAACAGGGAGAAAAAGGGAATGGTTTAAAATAGACGATGCCATACAAGTGTTGCAGTGTCACAAGCCCGTGCAGGCCACCTACTTCGAGGCTCTCCAGGAGAGTTGCCTGACCAGTAATGGAACACCACTGGTGACCACGATAGGTGGGGACCTCTCCCCTACCTACAGCATCAATCAGAGCTCGGTCTCGGGTATCAGATAACTAAAACCATAACTCTGGCACCCCCCCAGGAGCTTATCGCCACCACTTGCGCTCTTACTTGTGTCTCATCTCTTTCTCCTCTCCTTTCTTTTCTTTTCTTTTTTTTTTTTTCTTTTCTCCTTTGTCTCAATGACATGGTTTGCCTTGCCAACTCCTTTGTGCCAGACCGGTGGCACAGACTTGATGACAAGCGTTGGGTGAATAGTCTGAAACACTTTATAAATGTAACTGTAATTTTTTTACCCTTTTTTTTTTTTTTTTTTCCTTTTTACTTACAACTGCATGAAGTTTCCCCCCTCGATCCCAGTCCTTTACGCGCCCTTAGCGTGGTGTTTATTGAATGCAAGAGCTACTTTTTACTGTTGTAATGTAAAAGTGTATACTTAGTGCTTAAGCTGAAGGCTTTTGGTGGTCTTTTTAACGTCTCCTCCATTATTTTTTGTTTATCTTCTGTGAATGAATGTGCTCATCAGTTGACTCCCTCCCCTGCTGTAAGAATAGGAAATACTGTCCGTATCTGAATGAACAGAGTTGTTGGAAGTGTCTTGCATGAGCACTGTTCCGTTGTGTCTCTCTCACTTGAGTGGCCTGACGCAAACTGTGCTACAGACTTGTGGTAAGGTCTTTAGCGGTTCTTAATTTCTCTACTTGCCGTAGTTGTTTGTGTCTTTTTTTTTTTTTGCTTTTCTTTTTAAAATCAAAATATGGCCCTGAGTCATTTTCCAATTTCAGTAGACTTTCAAGTGTTTCTCTCTTATTTGGGAAGCTCGCCAAGCACTACAGGTTTCACTTTCAAACAGAGCATATACAGTATACTGTATAGAGTGGAAGAATGTCAACTTTCATTGTAAAATGATCCACCTTTCTCATTGGTGTGTTTACCTTCTTTTTACCCCTTTTTGTTTCCTTTTTTAAATGCTTTCTTGTGACTACAATGTCTTCCTCCACATTCTGAGAGGGTAAAAATAGTAGATTTATGAATCATGGACATTCAAAATGCAGCACATATCACTTAAGTTATTAAAACCTATGTCCATATTTTACTCCTCACATTCAGTTTGGTTAAAAGCAATTGTTTACATTGTGTTCATAACATAGCACAGATGACTTTAGCGGGCACTTTTCATTACAGCCTTCTTTTTTCTTTTCTTTTTTTTTCTTTTTTTTTTTTTTCTACCCTTTCTTTAGTATTTAATCTGCATCCCCAAGAACACTTGGGACACCTGCTTGAAATGGAAAGAAATGGATCTATAATGCTGTCTTTGGCAAGATGCAGAACAAAAAAAAAAGCCTTGTACAGTTTGAGACCTTGTTTTTAACATGTAAAATGCTTTTGGATACTATTTCCTTTTTTTCCCCCTCTCTTTCTCTCTCTAACGTCTGGCAAAAGTCTCTTTAGCTGAGCTGCGCCACTTGGCCTTGACGTGTCGCGGGGCAGCTGGCTCAATACTGTGAAACTGGAGGCGCTGTAGATAGCACGTAAGAGGTTTTTATTGTAAAATGTTTATTTCTGTATAGATCAAACGGGAGAGTACAAATGACAAAACACCTCTTACACACCGGGTGAGTGCTGCATGTCATTTGGGCTGAGGCTGGAGAGCTGATTGGTCGCCTTCTGTTGGCTTAGGGAGCTGTTGAGAACCTTCTCTTGAGATAGCATTCATCAGTACATCAGAGGCAAAGAACAAGGAGTCTGTCTCTGGGTGAGATTAAAGAGCCCTCTTATTAAGAATATTCCTGGAATTATTATTATTTTTGTTGTTGTATTTGGCCAAAGCAGATTTTTAAATCTTTTTTGTCATCTTTTGTCAAACTGAGAGAAGTTTAACTGTACACAATACCAAACCATCACCGTATTTTCCTGTTGAGCTTTTCTCGTTCCTTTGTGGTTTTCTGTTCATATTGAGAGCTTTATTTTGAGCTTTGTCCAACACACATAATGTTACACGTGTGTGTGTGTGTGCCCTTTTTGGACCTGTGAGAGTCCACCAAACGAATTTCGTTATTAACGCGCATTATTTGACCTTTTCCGCTCCGATTTGTATTCCATCAGTACCCCTCTAAACTCGTGGCTAATTTTAACCCTCCCGCTGCCCGATTCCTCCGTCTGAATTGGGGGCTGGCCGCTGGCTTCTGCCAAAATCTGCCACAGGCGCTGCCTGGAAGAACGAGAGCCAGCAGCGAAGAGGCTTAACACCTCCAGAACGCTGAGGAGCCGCCGGGGAGAGGCACACAAATTCAAACGCTAATTATATCCACCGTCAACCCAACGGTTAAAGTTTAAGTCAGACAACAGACATGGAGCACCTTGAAATTACTTTGCACTCATTTTCTGTCTGTAGCAGATCTGTAGTAATGGATTTAGTCCCTCTCTTTATCTCGCTTCCTGTCAAGTACAGCAACGGTTAACACATTTAGCTCACAATATGAACAGAAAACTCCAGTTTTTATGACTGAAGCTAATGAGAAATGCCCCTCCGGAAATTAGTTTCAGAACGGAAAGCAAGTTGAACGAGGTGTATCTGTGAAGCCAGCCGGACGGCGTTTTACAGTGGGCAGAGGAGGCTGCCGTCACTTCTCCCGTCTGCATTTTATGGAGGGCGTCTCTGGAAGTAGAGCTCCAGGTGGACTCCCAGTGTTGACAAGAGATATCTCTGACGATTGGTTGGTGCTCCGATAGCCCTGACGTCCTCCCGCCTGAGACTTTGACATGATTTTACTGCTGTGCATTTGAAGGTGTGGTGGCCAAAGTCCTGCTTTACGATGCCCTACCTGGCACCAGATTTCATTGATTAGGTCTTTTAGTCTCCGTGTAAAATGTGCAGTTAGTTGTCAAGAGGATAAACTGGAACAAGGCAGGAAAAAAAAAAAGAAAAAAAAAAAAACTAAACTCAGCCCAGAGTAATTAGCCAGGATCAGTTTGGTTAGATGTGGGTGACAGGTACTGTCAAAATGAATGTGAGGAGGATCTCCACAATTATCAGCCAACAATTTAATTATTAACGACCTCTGCTTCATCTACCGGACCCTTTTCTGTTCTTTAATCGGTTGTAATTGACAGGCTCTTGTCTTTTGTACAGCTAACACGGCACCCTTTCAGCCAGAGGAAGCTCTTTGGTCATTAAGGAGTACTGCACTTGTCTTTTTTTTTCTTTTTTTTTAACCCATCCTACTTAAATTCGGGCACTTCCTGTCATTAATTGCAGTCCAGACTTTAAGTGCTGAACTGAAGACGATGTTTCCAAGTAAAGTCACATTGGGGTTTTTAATTTTTTTTTTTTTAATGTGGCGTAAGGATGACACAAATGGATGCAACACCTTTTCTGGGAAACCTCTGCCATCAGAATTGTCTCCGCAGTGTGAGAGAAGCGTCAGAACAGAGGCGGGATGAAGGATGTTCTCCCAACAGCTGAAACCTCTGATCCAACATCAGACATGATTATGTTTTGCCATGTTACTTACTTGGGCCCCATCTTGTGGGCGTAGCATTAGTATTGAAAGCACACCAGTCAGCAGCTGAGAACGGTTTGCCTTCATCAGCACAAACGGTTCGGAAAACCAAACCAAAAAAAAGAAAATCGACAAAGATTAAATTAAATAATCCCCGAAGACTCTTTCTGCCGACACGTGTGCACTTCTAGCTGTTGACCTCAGCCTTGAAGTAACATATTTGTTGCAAATGTGTTCTCCAAGGTTTATGTGTCACTGGAATATTGTTTTCCTCTTTTGTCATTTGGGACTGTGGAATAAAACCAGTGTGAGAAGACTGAAGATTGTAATATAAATGTGCCAACAAATAAACACCAGTATTTCACATTAGAGCTGGCGTCTTTTAATTCATGTTATAAAAAATGTTTTCTCTTAGAAAATACTGACCGTATTAGTCAATAAAATATTAAAATGCGGTTTTATGATGAATGGAAGAGGGCTAAATTAAAGGGGGCAAAATATCAAACTGGGCTTATGTTTTCAGTTTGATATTAAAATCTAAACTATACATGATATGCTTGTTAAACCCACACTCTTTAATTGTGAGCATTCATCATTCGTGAATCAAGCCTCACGCCTGTCACAGCTACATTTCCTGGGTTTGAGTGAATGTGGAAATGAGCTGTTGCAATGAACACTCACGTTAAACTAAGTCCACTGTGCCCAAAAAAGCCTTCCTAAAGAACTTCAAGCTTGGTTAGTTTTTCCCTAACACCAGTGGGATGGAGGGCATGTAACATTTAAGAACCTGAGGCCAAAACCTACCAGAAGACCCCCTGACAGGTAAAACAGTCTGCAGGCTGCCAGCAAATTGTGACTGGAATAACTCAACTTAAGCCATTAACACTTCTGCGTGTTTGTGTTTCTTCACTTGATTAATAACAAAATGACTTATTTTCACATCTCACCAGGTTTACTTTCTTTAGTATTTTTCTATCATTATGTTGATGTTACTGGTGCTCAAAGAATATAAAAAGTTCAGGCACAGGTTGTGTTTTGTTTTTCTTTATTGTACAGAAACAGATAATGAAGTCTACTGAGGCTGCTGTCCTCTGCCACGCCCAAAGCCGCCCCTCTGTGACAAGAGAAAAACATGTCCCGTCAGCACAAACCCAGTTGGGCTTTCTGACCTTCATTTTTCAGACATGACAGGACTAAACCTCCCAATGTTTCAGTTATCGTTCCTACAGCAGTGGAAAAGGTTAACACAATAAAAGAAGTACTTACAAACTGGAACTCTGTGGCAGCTCCAGCACCTGCCTCTGCTTTCTTATCAGCACCAGCTGAAAGAAAAGTTGTTAAAACAACAAGTCAGACAACATTTAAAAACTAAATTATTTTTTCAGTACAACATCTGATAAAACACCTAAATAAATGTAATATACAGAGTTGCCCTGATTTGATTTGTACGTACGTGGTGCAGCAGATCGCCTGTAGGTATCTCTGTCAGCCTCCCCGCGGGTAAGGCGGGCTGGTCTCTCACCCTCCATACCTGTAACAACAATGAAAGTTTTTTTTAAAAAACATTTAATATTCAGCATCTGGATGTTCATTTTAATTTATGAAGAGATCTTAAGAGTTCACTTGATTTCGAAGGGGCACCTTGTGATAAGACAAAACTAACTAAAAATGTTTGTTTTGATGATCAAAAAAAGCAGCCCCACCACTCTTAAGCTCCTTTAAATTATATAACTGTTATTCAGAAGAAAAAAGTATTTACTTTCTCAGGAAATTAAAAGAACAAACAAAAATAAACAGGTTATTGGCATAGCACTTTATCAAACACCAGTATTGAGCTGAATATACAGGTAAATTGTGAGATGGTGCCTCACCCTTGGGCCTGGGCCTTGCGGTCTCAGGGCGGGTCTGCCGGCGCAGGGTTGCGGGCACAATCTCCGGGGGAAGGTGGAGGAAGTCTCTCAGGTACTGGATACCCTCATTGGTGAGGTACCAGTAGAAATGACGCCAGGCAAATTGCTCCTTGACATACCCACAGGACTTCAGAGACTGAAAGCCAAGCAAAAAAACATTAACCACAACTAATTACAGCTCTTTGTTCAAGGAAACAGTAAAAGTCTATGGTGTTGTATGCAAAATGCCTTGCTTCAGACTTGCTTTCATTATTTTAAATGAAACCATCAAACCATTTAAATAACTAGTATAGATTACAAACAAAAATGGATCTCACGTGACAATTGTCATGTATATATATATAAAAAATCGAAATCAAATTATTTCAGAGAAAATGTATTTCCTGTAAGGAATATATTGAATATTTCCCACATGGACAAGAGAAAAAAAGAATATCTGAACTACAACATATCTGTGGTGCCAACGCAACCATTTTGAAAAATAATTATTTACAGACTCATTCAGCTTTAAAAAAAAAAAGGAATATAACAAGTTGGGAAGAAAGATGTTTGATAAAGTAACAAAGACATAAATACACCCAACATCCAATAGTGAAAAAAAAGGCTCAGCAAACTAATACAACTACAGCTTAAAATGTATGAAGTGTGCCAGGATGGCGAAAAACATCACGAGGGGGATTTTACTGACAGAGCAATATAAATGTTTGAATATTCAGACACCAAGTAACTTTTAAAACCTGGCCTGTGTAACACAAAAAAATGTATCACAATTACATATCTAGTCTCAAGTTAACTCATAAGTTCCTCATACTTTCTCAGAAACATTCTCAAGTACATTACAAATATGAACTTTCAGAAACCCTGTTCCAATTACAGCTTGGTGTTTGACTACATAATTTTTCCTCCAGAGCCACTGTCCTGCCAGTTTTAGAAGTTTTTATTAGACTTTAATTTTAGACTAAAATACATCTGACTCCCTTTAAATCGATACATTTAAGAACTTGTTGAGATCTGTGCAAGCATGTTAATAGCATTTTAACATGCCAGGTGTGTTGGGTCGGGGAAACATCTAAATCTTGCAAGATCTTAGCCCTATAGGACCTGAACTGAACCCTGACCGGAGTATCAGAAGCATTAAAATCAAACAAGAATTTCTTAACTGTGTTACTTTGAATAGTTTAATGCAGGTTAGTTTAGATGGCAGCTTTCTGCAGTGGACATCCTCCATTACATCCCAGTACTTTTTAATACAAAACTAAGTTTAAAACCACCTGAATTACATCTCTGCACTGCACACTAAAAACATAATCTGATGTGCCCACTTCAGATGCTTTTGATCAACTTCCATCCAGCGTTTTCTCACCTGCATCGCTTTCATCACATGAAGGTTGGGGACGTTCTTGTCAGCAAGCTCGGGATGCTTGGGCAGATGGACATCTTTCTTGGCCACCATGACTCCCTCTTTAAAGAGGAGCTCGTAGATAGCAATGCGGTTTTTCTTGGGCATCAGCATCTGGGTGAGGAGACAGGTAAGCGCATCAGTTAGCGACAGCTTATAGCTTCCCCCACGTTAGCGTGCTAGGCGACCAACATGCTAACTAGCATAGATGAAATGGTTAAACAGGTCTACAGCCAATATTTCGTGCTGTGAAAGAACTGGTTGTTCATTTGCAGGTCTACTTTCGAGAACATACAGATTTCTAGACACTAAAATTGACAAGAGTTGCCCGCGTTAGAGGGGAAAAATGGCAGCCGTTCGCTATACAAGAGCCGGGCTTCTTCCCCATTTTAATAGTCAATATCCACCATCCGAAGGTGTATAAAGATCAAATATGTCTACATTGTCCTTTATTACATCATTTCTAACCAATAATTGAATAGTTTTATGGTGCTAGCCATAAGATGTTAAAGATATATTTGGATTTTGACGCCCAGTCTCACATTACCTTTCCACTTGATAGGGGACCGGAGCCGGAAGGAACGACTGTCGTTGGTTGGGAACGGTTGTCCTCTTGGCGCATGCCCGCCGGAACGTGTCGCCCCCTGCTGGCGTGGAGAGAACCGCTCACAAGTGCATTTATTGCTCTTCAGAATTTCTTTTTACTAAAACATAAACTGCTTAACTGAAATTACACTGACTTCAGACGCAGACTGATAAAATAAACTTAAACTGATATATATAAACTTATATAAATATCAATATATGCCATCGGTTCATGTTGTTTTATTTTATTTTTTGCCAGTAGGCGTGTAGTTAATTATCAGAGTTTTGGCCAGTGCAAATGTTGGGCTGATTTACATGTGCATCTCTAATACAATTAACGCATCTCTTTATTATAGCCTTTTAAAGGCAGTGCTTTGCAAACCTTTTAATCACATTCTCTTCCTGTTTTCTTTTTCATTATTGTTGTTATTATTTTGGTAACTTGTGTTTATCGTTTACACCAAACTACTTCCTGTATAACATTTATTTTGAAAGAAAAAACCCGAAAGGTGTCTTGTCAGTTTTGTCCAGCTTGGTTGCAGCTCGCGAACCACCATCCCCCACATCCCCCATCTGGCTGCTCTGTTCAGGGAAACGTCAACCAGCGGTACGACAGAGGCAGTCCCTGCTGCTGAGCACCATGGAAGCACACTAACCCAATAAAAGGAGCAGGATCTTCATTTCATCCAGGTATTTTATTTAAATACATATATGTGTGTGTGTGTCTGTGTGTGTGTGTGTGTTTGCATGTATGTAGAAGGGTGTATCATCTGTTGTTAAAGGCTTAGTGATTGAGAAGCTTAATCTACATCAAATATTGATGAAGCCTTACATCTGCTGTCTCAGAATAGAGAATAGAGGCACCAGCAACAACTCCTGTCAGTTTATGAATTTAAAGTTCATGTTTAAGATAAGTGTACTTGTTTTGTTTTTGTTTTACCACCGTCCATGTTTTAGTCAAACTTGAAACATTGTCACTCCTTTTTCTTGACGCTCATTTCCCACAAAGATGAGTCAAGGTGTGTTTATTTACAGTTGGCCTCAGTAAAGTAAAGTCATGTGTTGATCATGCAGAAAAGTGACAGCAACTTGTGCAGTCCAAAGCAGGTTTTTGGGGACTTTTGAAGTCAAATTCACCTCTCGGGGGGGAAAACCTCACTTCCTTCACAGCAATTATTACTTTGATGTAATGTTGGTGAGCAGCTGGTGGTTGTCCGGTCAGAGCTGGTGACCTCCATCTGGAGACAGAAATCACCTCTGTCCACGGTTCTGAACTCTGATCTCTCATGGACCACGGTTCAACCATTATATCAAACATTTCTTTTGTTTAAAAACCACAGGAAGTCATAAAGTTAGGAAAAAGAGAAAATATATCAAGTATGCTTTGACAAAGATATGTGTCACTCAAAATGACCACAAAATATATAATATTAAATGAAAGTATATTCTAAAGGAAATATACTACAAAAGACAGAGTCTCAATAATAAGACACATCGTTTCTTTAAATACATTTCTCTCTGTCAGCCCAGACATAAATGGTGTCAATATCTTTGTCCAGGTTTGAGTTGCGAATGCAGTCTCTCCTCTTTGCATATTTATGAAAATGTGGGACAATTTACAGTAAAAGTCGGATTCTCTGGGTCGATACAATAAAGTGATTTTCCTCCTTATTGTTTTCTTTTGCATATGATGGACTGAGCTGATCACTCTGTGATCTGTTGGTGTCCATCCTTTGGCTATTAGTTTTTAAATGTCAGCGTATGAAGGGACCCATTTGGATTTGAATTAAATACATTTGATAGACTTAAATAGTCCAAAAACGTAGATAAGTGGCTTCAAAGTGCCTTGATATGACATTTGTAATTTTTCTTATGCAAAAAAAAAGCAGGTGGATAGAACAGAATTTTCAAGCCATAAAAGAAGTTTGCAGCACAAAGAAATTGGGAAAAGGGCGAGGAAACACTTTCCATATTGAGAAGGTTTTAGTTTAAAAAGGCACCTGTATGATCATGATTGAACGATACATCAAACTGAACCTGAGTTGTCAGAGAGATGTCCCTCAATGCTGGTCCTTTTTGATCATCAAACCCATCATCTCTGGAGGAGCATTTGTTAAATTTTTTGTTTTCAGATTAGATGTCAGAGCTGTAAACCATTTCCATTCAAACTCATCCAGAGTGAACGTGTGCTCGCCTTTAACCACACATTGAAGTGATTTAGTGTCTGATTAAATTAAATGATAAAGGAGGGACACTCATTTGATTTTTTTTTTTTGTGTTCGGTTCCGCTCCTCCCTGTCTTTGCAGAAGGGAAGACGGATGAAGTGTCTCTGCTAATGTGATTAATTAGACTGAAGCCATAGTTGTCTTTTTCTACCCATCCCTTTGTCTGTTTGAGTTATAATGGATATGCAGCTCCCCGTGGGGATCGACACTCAACGTGCTGTTTTCATTGGCACCGCACATCTGGCGGTCACGGCCCCAGCTGATGTTAGATGACTGAAAGTAATTGATTACGATTACTTATTCTTTTCTATTAGTCATTATAATCAAGGATGTGGTTTCAGACAGGCTAAGCTTCTCCTTCAATGCCAGGCTCCGCAGCAATGAAAATTAATGTTTCATTTAGTCTCTGTTGCTCTCATTAAAGGAATCTGCTGCAGGGAGAATACGTGAGTGTGCAATATCAGACATTCCAGCTGATTGTTAATTTTTTGAATTTAGGAGCTTATCTCCGTACGTGCTCATTGACTCAAGCCTGCTGGTTGGCTGTGGGTCAGCAGGGACTTGGCTTTGCCTCGAACCACTATGTAATTGGAGCCTGAGATGGGATCCTCACAGGGGATCACTGGAGAGAGGCAATCTTCATTTGCTTAAAGGCCCCGGGTTTGTTTTCGCCATCGCTTCTGTACAGGAGCCTGTACCACTGCAAAGCATTAGTGGCTTCACAAGGTAACGTTAGGTCTAACTCTGGACTTTCAGTGTCACGGAGTTTTATTTTTTTTGTTTCTGAAAGCTTTCATGCTTTAGGGGAGCTTAGGTTTCCTTTATAAGTTGCCATCAGGGCAGTGAACCTGACATGAACACACAAATATGAAGTCTGAAGACTTGAACTGACTAACTGAGCTGATAATCAGTGTTGTGATGTTTGTTAGGTATCAACAAAATAATCTGACTAGTGTATCTCAAGAGAAATGCTCTTGTCCCACATCCCTTTTTCATTGCTTAGTGTGCTCTTAAACACACCAAAGTGGAATCATGGGATCAAATGAGTGTTGTGATGGTTGTTGATGCAGTTCTTCAGGGGTTCTGTTCCAGTCGGCTTTTTGTAGTTGGTGGTAATCATCATCCAAGCCTAACAAAATTTATAACCTTAAAGATCATCGCAGCAGTTGTTCTTTCTAACAATAATGTTACATGTTTTATATCCCTAAAGCATTTTTTTGTCGGTGATTAGGTCCCTTGTTTTCATCTTAACTTATCCACTATCTGACTGATCTAAAATGTGAGAAACCTGTTGAATATTTTTATCATTTCTGGACCGGTTCAGAAAATAGATGGATGGAAACAAAATATTTCCATTCCATCCAAGTGATGCATTTCCATAATTGCTTAGATTCTCCTTAAAATAACACAGGTTACTCAGCAAATCAATACTAGGTATCTCGTACATTCTTCGTGTACTGTTTTATCAGCGTCCTCACAGCCAGACTCCTCTGCTCTGTGACTACAGGCCCTGAATCAGCAGAATCTCAGCAGTAGGCTGAACTTGGCAGATCAGCCGCACATGCACAAGATGCATTATAAAATCACCTAAATGCCTAAAATTATTCAGCGCCTCTGAAACAGTTATGAAAAACCAACTCAAATTGACTCTTGAGTTTTTAAGCAAGGATTTAAGACACGTTGTTGCCACTTTTATTGGACTATTCTGGCAAACTGTCATTGATTTGTATGTTAAGAAAACAAACAGAAACATCACATTGGGCTTTGGGCAAAGCTAAAGTCCTTTTCACTGTTGTTTTTTCTTCCGCGAAAAAAAAAGAGAAACATTCTTTGATTATAAATCCGATCTAATTCACTTTAATTCACGCTGCGTTTTTGTTATAGACACATTCCTGTTAACGCTCCCGTCATAAAGTCTGATAACATGTTCTTCTAAATGCACTGTCATTCTATAATATCATCACATCTGCTCTTTAGCAGATCTTCTTCTACAAAATTAAAGCACCTATATCCGAGAACCTTTCCATTTTTTTGTTCCTGGCCAGAAATAAGTTTTCCTCCAACAGGCCATGTGGTCGAATTTCCAAAATACAGTTTGAAAATGTATCAAACCAAAGAAGTGTGAGGAATATTTTGGCATCGGAGTCCACCAGACTGTCCCAGTGTGAAAGCGTGAAACCTTTGACTGTCCCCCAAATGGCAAAACGATGCTGTAACATGCGCACGTGTGTCTTAGTGAGACACAGCTTTAAATGAAGCAGTCCGGGAGGATTTTGTCTTTTTTTCCCCTTTCTTCCAAACTGAAAACCCATCATGTGTGATGAAACCTCTTCAGCACAAGTCAGAAATCATTGTTCCAAAGCTCACACAGCTATGCACTTTTGTGTCAGTTTAAAATATTTCAGCGTTGCATGAGTGCTAGTGGGAGCCTCACAGAGAAACGGTCTCTCGGGGTATGTTGGAGACGGAACATTATGAAAGCCATCTCGCAGTTTAAGAGGAGCAGTGAGGCTGTTGAAGGGGATGAGCTGCAGGTTTTCTTGGCTCCTCTGAGGGTTAGACACACCGGAGTTATAGTGTCATTGAAGTGTTGAAAACCGAACAGGCAAGTCAGGAGGCTTGATGTTGCCATGGCAACTTTGTTTGTCATCGATGTGCGTGGTGCATGTGCCCGCTTGTAAACATGTAACCATGACAGGACACACTCACATAGTCTTTGTACTGTTTGTGTCGTTTAAATTAATAACTGAATTATTTCAGTATTTCAGATTAATGTTGGAAATAGTCATGTTTGATATTCCTGGGCTTTAAAAAAAAAGATCTAATAAATTGAAGTATTCGTGGAAGATTCTGCTGTTTTTATTT